TGCCTTCACTAGATACCACGTGGCCTAAGAATGCCTCTGACTGCAACCATAACTCACATTTTGAAAACATGGCATAAAGCTCATTCTCCTTCAAGGTCTACAAGGCTATCTTGAGGTGTTCTGCATGCTCTTCCTTGCCTTTAGAGTATACCAGAATATCGTCTATAAACACGATAATAAAGGTATCAAGGAATGGCTTAAAAACTTTGTTCATGAGGTCTATGAATGCATTTGGAGCTTTGTCAACCCGAAGGACATTACTAGAAATTCATAGTGCCCGTAGCGAGTCTAATGGCTGTTTTAGATATATCCTCTTCTCTGATTCTCAACTGATGGTACCCCGACCTCAAGTCTATCTTTGAAAAGTACTTTGCACCCTGAAGTTGATCAAATAAATCATCAATTTTTGATAGTGGGTACTTGTTCTTAATGGTAACTTTATTCAACTGCCGATAGTCGACGCACATTCTAAGAGACCCATATTTCTTCTTGACAAACAGGACCGGGGCACCCCACGGTAAAACACTCGAAATGATAAAGCCCTTGTCAAGAAGGTCTTTCAACTGTTCCCTCAACTCATTAAGTTCTGCTGGAGCCATCCTATAAGGAGGTATAGATATGGACTGAGTGCCTGGCATGAAATCGATGCCAAAGTCTATAATTCTTTCTGGAGGAAGTCCGGGAAGGTCATCTGGGAAAACTTCTGAAAATTCTCTAACAACTAGCACATACTGAAGAACTGGTGGTTCTGATTCTAAATTAATGATGTGAGACAAATAGGCGAGATACCCCTTACCGATCATTCGTTTTGCCTTAAGGTAAGAAATAAACTTACCTACAAGCGATGCTGAACTACCCTTCCACTTTAAGATTTCTTCATTTGGAAATTGGAACCTGACTATCTTGGCATGACAATCTAACATGGAATAGCAGGAAGACAACCAATCCATATCCATAATCACATTGAAATCCACAATTTCTAACTCTATGAGATCGGCCTCGGTGCTGCGACCTTGGACTGAAACTATACAACCTCTATAGACTCTTATGGCTTTCACTGACTCGCCAACTAGAATAGATACTAGGAATGGCTCACTAAGCTGTTAATGTTCTAGCCCGAGGTTAATTGCAAAGTATGGAGTCACGTACGAAAATGTTGAACCTGGATCAATTATGGCATAAGCATTATGTGAGCAGACTAGAAGTATACATGTAATAACCTTTGTAGATGCCTCTGCACTCTGACGATCAAGTGTAGTAAACAAACGGGGTTATCCCCCTCCCTGAGTAACTTGATCTGCACCTCTGCATGCCCCATGCCCGGTCTGATTATGAAAACCACAAGCCTGAGGTGGTGCAACTGTAGTAGCTAAGGAACTAGAAGGAGGAGCTAATCCCCCACTGAAATTACGTCGCAACTTTGGGCAGTTTGCCTTTATATGACCACTGTCTCCGCAATGATAGCAACCTTGAAACCCTAGCTTGCATTGACCTGAATGTTGCCGATTATATGTACCACAAAGACCTTGCTGTTGTGAATTTTGCTCAACATGACTATGGCTATATGAGGATGGTGTCCTAAAATTCTAATTCTAGCGAGACTGGTTTCCATAACTCTTAGTACGTCTGAAGGAAGACCCACCACCTGATTGATGATTGGACTGAGCTGGTGCTAATGACCCCTTATTGAAGGAACCCCTTCCTCCTCCGCTGGATGTACCAATAAGCCCGTCCGCTGTCCGGGCTTTCTTGTTATGCTATTTTTCTTCTCTCCTTTGTTGTCTGTCTTTTTCTAAGTGCTTGGCGAAACCCACAACAGAGGAAAAAGTTGTCATTCCTACCGCTGCAACTTATGTCGTATCCTTAATGTGGTAAGCCAAAACCGCCAACAAACTTGCATATCTTTGCTTTTTCTATCTTAACCATGTGAGGAGCATGCTTAGCCAAACTTATGAATTCTATGTAGTAATCTTGCACACTTTTATTCCCTTGCTTGAGCTGCTCGAACTCTGTAGCCTTAGCTTACCTATCCTCTTCTGGTATAAAATTAGCCATGAAGGCCTCTTCAAATTCTTCCCAAGTAGGCGGACCATCATCTTCATCTCTTTCCTTTTCCCACATCTCAAACCAAGCGCCAGCCACATCTCTAAGCTGGTAGGCAGCCAGCTCCACAGCTTCATCATCAAATGTCTCCATCGCTCGTAAGGCTTTCTTGACACCCTCTAGACACAACATTGGATCTTCATCAACTATAGTACCACGGAACAATGGAGGCTCCACAGCTTCATCATCAAATTCATTCACTGTTGAGGACTCAGAATTGTTCTGTCTATTTGATTGAGGTTGTATCTCAATTGTTCTCTCGTTCTGGTTAGCATGAAGGCTTTAAACATCTCCATAGCACCGTTGACAGCATTAAACATCTGACCCACCTCTGGAGATGTAGTTGTTTGAGCCGGAACTGCCGTTGGGGTTGGCACTGGATCCTGAGGTACTTACTCATCATGCTCCACTCCTTCTTCATGTTCAACCCGGGATACCTGAACCCCCTTTGTGGAATTACCCTTTCTTTTCTGAGTTGAAGACTTCTTAGTTCTACTTTGAGCCACAATAGTAGCAATAGTTTATTGAGTAGCATCCTGAGTATCAGTATCAGAGTTGCGAGTACGAGCCATTTATGCGAGTTTTGGAGAAACGAATACATTAAATAATTTCTTAGAGGTAGGTTCTATTGAACGATCTAAAGTATAAAAAAAAAATGAGGCTCTTCCTAAATGCTTGTAGCCTCCTATTTATAAGTATGGTGTACTTCATATCCATAAATAAGACTCTACTGATACGACTTCATAAACCCCTAGGACTCCATAAACCTAATGCTCTGATACCAAGTTTGTCATGGCACATTTTCTGAACAAGCCGTAACCGGCACCCGATCGCTAAATTTGACCGAGCAAACCATTTGTGCCTATCAAAACTATTATAACTTCAAAATTTATATGCAATAAGGAAATACTTTAATCAAATACTTTTTATTAATTTGAATATCTAAAATAAACCAGCTCCAATACTTTATTCATAGTCTCTACTGAAATACTACAAAGTTATTATCAAAATTACCTGAATCTTAACCCACTGACTATGTCTATGAAGCTTCTATTGATAAACTGACGCACTGCTCATGTATGAGATTTACTGGCCAGTTCTCCTAGTAAACAAAGAAATAGTTAAATAATAATGACTCAAAGGAATACTCTACGAACAAAAGCGGAGCTCACCAATAACACTAGAAGTGAGGGAAGTCCTAACCTATAGTCTGCTCGCCTACAAAACTGGTTCCTACGTTGTACCGTAGACCAACACAGGTTTCCAAAAGAGAACATCAGTACCATCCATTGTACTCGGCGTGTCTCAACGACAGGGGACGAAACTTTAATAAAATATACATTACAAGCAAAGATTCTAAATGCATGAAAAACATAAAGCTTCTACGAACAATTCTAAAATAATAGCATAACAACAATTTAAGAATATTCTAAAAGAAATTCTTTTCTTTTTCTTTCTTATCTAAAAAAAATACTTCACTTTATGCTTCGGAAGTTCCAACTATCCTCACTTATTTCTATCTTTGTCACTATGTAATCGGCATGGTTCGATCCTAACCTGATCGAATAGGCCCAATCCACGAGGTGCCACCACTCGATTCATGGTTCTCAGCGCTCATGTATCATACCTTAGACTGGCTAGATAAATTGTCAGGAACGAGACCCTCAACTCGTTTTCTCCCTACTTTGGCACAGGTAGTTTCAGGAAGTCAACGCCTTGATCAAGACCCTCGGCCTAGACGATGACCCCTTTTCAGAATAGAGGATACACCCAAAAATACTTTAATAATAAATTATTTTGTGTGACATCGCTAGGATCTAAATCAACTTCTCAACTTTCTTGACCATTCAAGTCTAAATCTTTTTTGGAACAACCTATACATACTCATACCGGTATCCTTAAATGTAAAACATGGCAAAAGCATGAAATAAACATTCAAAAGTATTTCTAAAGATTCTTGCTTCTTTATGAATTTTCAACATGAAAATAGCATATAAGAATAACACAAAAATCTGAAAATTTATGCACATATATCATAATAAATCATCTAAACTTTAGCTAGAACAATTCTAAGTAACTAGGTACTCACTCGCTCCAATTAAGTACATATTAACTATTTTAAGCAATTCCTCAAACACCTTGTATGCGTGTTTTTGTGAGTTAAACCACTTTAGTAAAGGGTTATATCAACTCACCTCAAAACTCTTCGAACCAATACGTAGGCCGCTATCCAATTTATACCCGTCAAACAATCGATTCTACAATAGCCGATGCATTTTAATTAATTTCAAAGTTTCACACCTAAACATAGAACTTACTGTTGATATAGAGAAAGACGGGAATTAACAATTCAATTCTTACCTATTACTATTGTAGGATAATTGACAATAAAAATTTTTATATACCTGAGTTCAAGAACTAGTGATTTGTAAAGAAACCCAGAACTTTTTGTTACCTGCGTGAGTAAGCAGCAAGGCTGCCTCTGTTTCGTGAGTAAACAAAACGCTAGTTCTGTTTTTCGTATAAGGCTTCTTAATTCTTTTGCCTTCCAACAGCCCTTTATGGGCTTTAGGCTTGTGTCCCCCCCTCCCTTTTTTTTGTTTTTATTTTGGCTTAACTAATAATTAATGATACTTACTTTTAATAATTAGTAATATTAAAATTATTAATATTCCCCTACTTGTATATCACATTATTTGTCCTCAGGGTAGGGATAAAATCTGCGTACACACTACCCTCTCCAGACAACCCTAGTAGAATTTTAGTGGGTCGTTGTTTTTGTTGTTGTTGTTATTGTAGTATATCACATTATTTATAAATAGAGAAGTAACGCAAAAGTCAATAATAAGGGTTTAAATCCGTAATAGAAGTATAATTTGTTATGCACTAAGGCAAGATTAAAAAAATTAAATTCTATATTGAGCGTGTCTTGAAATTTTTATAGATTTGAGGAATGTTGCATCACCCCACCCAAGAAATTAAGGCAAGACTGGTTGCAGAAATAATCTAATATGCTGGTTTCACAAGTGCAAATGTGCTTCCCTATTTTGTGTTAAACCAAACTGAGGCACCTTTAAAACTTAATAAAAAAGGTTGCAACAGACCAAGAATACCAAGTATTGCATTAGAGCTCTTTGTATTAGGAGTTCAAACTCCTAATATTTTCATGCAGAGACTCCACGAGCCCAGCAATATGACTTGACCGCTTTGCTACCAAAGCTTCATTCCAGTAAATGTGCATACGTTCAAGTCGCCACATTAGCATTTCTCACCATAATTGCTATAATCTTTCCTTGACAACAGTTCTCGAGAGTTTCTCACTGTCCCATGTCAATATCAAAGTTTCTGCATGCACTGGAGTTGTGCAAGGCCCCGATTCAATGGAATATAAAGTGCGCCTTTTTAAATTGCATCTTGCTATTTTCACAATGCTTAAGAAGCGCCTGTCAGTAAACTGAACCAAAAATACAAATATCAGGACGAGATTATAGTGGCTGTCCAGATTACTTAGGACTCTTGCAATCATATTTGTGAAGCAATACTAGAATATGAGGTGATAGAAAAACTATAATGACACCAAGCACTATTCTAGACACTAAAAAGAAGATTCATTTGAACCACTTTACTCATAGATATGCAAGAAGCTAGAGTAATACAACTATTGCGGCTGCAAAAGATATTAACAATGAAAAAATAACTTTTGAGAAAGAAAGGGGTCTGAATATGTATATTAGAGCAATATAAGAGCGTAACAGTCAGAATTCTTACATCTGGAAGATCAAAGTCACCATCCTTTGCATCGCAAACATCAAGTGCTACCTTCCGAAGCAGTGGCATCTAATTGCATAAGAAATATTATTACGACAACTTAAGGTTCATGTCTTTGAAGAGAAAAACACATTATCTATGCTTACCCTTGAAGCGGCACAGATAATAAAATTTCTGTCTATTCCAAGGCCCTATCATTCAAAAGTTGAACTTCAGTTCAGTAGCAACATTTATGTAAGAACCTCTTCAACGAGAGCATATAGGTGTCTCACATAATAGTAAAATCATGGCGACCATATCATTTCAGCCACCCTAAAACATCCCTAAGTTTGTACAGTGTCAAATAGTGGGATTAGATTCACTCAGACTTCCTAGAAGTCCTCATGCATAGAACAAAAAGGAAAAAAGAATCAGATTTAAGTTTATATCATAATTAATGTGCCCTTTGGAATTTATTATCCATTATTATTGATGCTCCCCCATTTGATGTTTTATTTGATCTACAGAAGTGCAGGACATTCAACAGTAGAAGACTTACATTATGACGTAGTAAAAGATCTTCAAGTGCTTGACAATTCATAAGCAAAGTGACACCCTTGGCAGTTACTTCACCACAGTCCTAATCAAGATTAGACCAAATGAAATTGTGAGAGAACAGACGCAACTAAATTACATTTCCTGAGGAAATAAACAAAATAAGTACCAAACTGTTTGGCTCAAAGATACTAGTGATGCAACAAGTTACAAAGAACACTTGAAAAGACTGAAGTTTGAAAACTTTTTGGGTCGGGAATCTAATCTATATCTAGGAAGTCTGATAATGAAACTAGCTATATATTCTATCACAGGAGTTTCAAAATAACTAACAGGAAAAAACAAAATGTGACATGAAATCGAACTCATTAACTAAATGCTTCAGAAAAAACAAATTATGAATGAAATCAAACTCATTAAATAAATGCTTCTTATGCATCAGACCTCCGTAACTGATATAGGACATTATGTTCCGACTTTAGAAGCCTAGATCCGGAAACAGTTGATCTTAAATTGTCAGGCTGCAGTTTAGGACTTAAGATGGTTTAGGTCTGTCTGTGCCAACTAATTTAAGATTTCGTGATCTCAGGTAAATTACACTTCTCGTTGGGAGTTTGATACTATTTCTAAGTAGTGGATTGCCAGCCAGCTAAACCTCTGTGCACACATTGATCAAAGTGCTTGAGCTCTCTATTTTATCTTTTTTCTTGATTTTGCAGCAATTTTACTTAGGAGCATCTTAATTCTTATACCAGGGATTGTATGAGACACTTGCATTGTTAAGCATCCAACTTCGTAGAGATTCTGATCTCTGGTAATTCTCTTGTAGTACTACAGTTGATACCGAATTATGTACTTGACAATGGATACATGGCTTAATAGGAGGTCTGCATCCATTGATTAATGCTTCTCTCTGCTTTTCACCCACGGAATCTTCAGATTCCTACCGTATATGCATCTCTTCTGAATATAACCTTTTTTCTTTTGTTAGAAATGTTGTTAACAGGTCGCGAAACTTAAGTTGCAACAATTGCATGTGAAGAAATATTTAAAGGCCTAAAAGAATACACCTAACATGCTAGTAATTTTCTCCTCCCAATTGCCATTTAAGAATCCTATCACCTAGGCAAATTTAAACAAAAGATTATTCTTTCTTCAGCTTGAAGAATTAGAAATTTCAAAAAGAAACATGAAAAGCAGGTATACAACAAGTGGAGTGACAATAGCAATGGCAAACCTCTAAGTGAAGGGAGATCAACCCTGGCCAACCATTTGAAATAGTATCTTGCGACTCTGCAAAGAAACATTATAAGGTCATAAAACCAGGATTTTCATCGTATTTGAGAACAACAGGAATCTTCAAAGTTGCGCAAGCAATCATGGCATTAAAAAAATGGGCAGCCTAGTGCACGAAGCATCCCGCATTCACATAGGATCCGGGGAAGGGCCGCTCCCCAAGGGGGTGTGAGGCAGCCTACCCTGATGCTAGCATCAGTGGTGCTTCCACGGCTCGAACACGTGACCTATAAGTCACACAGAGACAACCTTACCGTTGCTCCAAGGCATTAAACTTATTAATCATACTTTAAAACTTTGTGAAAGAAGGATAGAGGGTAAGCTTAGGAACACTAGAAGAGTGACTAAGAACCAATTTTGTTTTATGCTTGGTAGATCTATAATATAGTTTATGTTCTTGCTAAAAACATTGATGGAAATTAATAGGGAGAAGAAGGAAGATTCACGCATTATATTTATTGATCTAGAGCAAGCACATCATAAAATGACAAAGAAATGTTCTTTGGTGGATATTGGAGAAGAACTGAATCCATATTAAATATATAAAGAATAAGAATGAAGAAGCCATCACTAGCGTTAAGAATTAGGAAATTGTTAATATAACAAGAGCCCTTTCCTTGTAAATTTTGGAAAGGTTTAGAATCCTTAGAATTGAGTACTTAGGAAAAGGAATTACTTTCCTTTCTTTTTTTGGATTACTAGTAAACTTTTTTTTTATATGGTAATTTGCTCCCTTAGTGACTCGAACCCACAACCTTAAAGTTGGAGGTGGAGATGCTTTTCACTTGAGTTACCATCTCTTGTCTGGATTACTTGTAAACTATATTCAAACCCCAATGCAGTTGGGGGAATAGTCAAGCAATTCATTCCTAACATCTCTTAGTTTCTCATTGTTTATCGCTAGNCATGCTCCTTGCGAATCTGTTGAACCATCAGTTCCTTCTGGTTTGATACTTTGAAGACGTAGGGGAAGGAGACCCTACCTATGATTCCAAAAGCTGATTCTCCTTCCATCTCCCACCCTGTAAGTGACGTTGCCACTGAATGCTTCCCAATTCTTCATGATACTCCTCCACATGCCACACCCGAAAGGTGTTGTGATCGCCTTGGTCCTCCAACCCCCTCCCGTTGAATCATACTTTTCTACTATGACCTCCCTCCATAGAGCATGCTCTTCTACCCCGAATCTCCACAGCCACTTTCCCATTAAAGCTCTGTTAAATACCCTAAGATCTTTAACTCCAAGTCCACCCCACTTCTTTGGGGAAGTGACTGTTTGCCAATGCACTAGATGAAACTTTCTAGTTCCATCCGCCGCATCCCATAGAAAGTTCCTTTGAAGTCGTTCTAGTTTTTCGGTGATGCTCACCGGTGCTTGCAACAGGGATAAGTAATAGGTTGGCATACTCGATAAAGTGCTT